CCTCGCCTCGAATACATCTCCAGGGAAATACTTTGGTTTCCGCGCAGCCAAATCGAATTTCCATGGCGAAAATCTCGCGTGCCGGTTGCGTCGCGATTCACGCGCGCCCTTTATTCTCGCGTGCGCTGTCATATGTTAATTTTCCATTTGGAAGCTTGGACTTGAAATCAACCAATCGTCTCGTTAGAGATAAAAGCTTTTCCTCGTCGAAACACATACAGAGACACGGGCAGATAGCGAAAATCAATCTGCCAACAAGTTGTGCTTCGAGCGTGCAAATAGCGCGTAGGGCTGGAGCGCATATACATACAGCCTTAATCGCAATGGCAAAGGAGAGCGAGAGAGGAGGGTGTGGAGCGAAGGTGGGGGGGGGGGGGCAGGAATTAGGTAGATTTACCAGCGTAAACACACGTAGGCATATTGAAATGTTGTCGTCAATCGCGGCCGATCTCCGCGCGTTGCGTTGCCGAGGAGAAAGAGCAAATAGCGAAGCAGCAGCAGCAGCAACAGCAGCAAGAGACAGAGGGAGAGCGCGCAATATAAAGTGCGTAGCTCGCAGGCTGTTTGCACGCCCTTTTCAGGCCTTTGACTGGATACGCCGCGACAAACAGTGGCGGCAGCCAACGCGCGCGCGCGCGCGCAAAAGCCGTTGCGCTCTTTGTCTCGCAGATTCGTGTCGCAACACGCGCACCCGCGCGCGTCCAGGCATCGGCCGACCAATTCCATCGACTGTCCTCAACAACTCCATTCATATGGTGAATTAATTTCGCGATTCTCGTTCGATTCATCTAGCCTTTTAATTATTTATATTTCGCTTTGTCCCGACTGTTCTGCTCTGTCTTTCGTCCTCGCGCCAACGCCATAACTTCGTCATTCAATTACTTTCATTCAGCGCATTGTTTAAATTCTTCCGATACTTTTTCTTTCGCGCGGCCAGCGCTGCAGTAGCGCGCGAGGATGGCGGCGGAGCTGCCTTTTTAATTTCCTGAGTTACGCTAACGGACAGCAGGATCACAGGAAAAGTTGACCGCGGTGTGGCGCGAAAAGGTGGCCGCGCACCGCCGCACCCCGACTCGCCGTTTGCACTTCCTTTTGCGATACTCGTTAACTTGCCAGCCAGCTATGAAACCTGAGCGTGCCACAAAGAGGCTGATGCAGTTCGAGTTTCGCTGTTAAACGTTTATTTTCCTTCTGGACGCGAGTCGAAGGCAAGTCTCTTTGTATTCTTCGAAGCGAAGGAAACACAGCTAGCAGATGAGATTTTCAAAGTGACAAGGGTATGTACCGTCTTACGTCTTCTTATAAATGGAATAAGATTATGGGTGCCGTAGTCACAGTTGCGGTTTATGCAAGCAAATGTGTCGTGAGATATAACAAAAACAACGATATGTAAATGCAGCAACCGAGGACGCAAAAAGAATACGGAATGGAAATGAGATTTTGCATGAGTTTAGCCAAGTAATAAGAGTGGCTGCGCGCCAAAATTAAAAAGTAGAATGAAAAAGAAAGGTACACGCCTCGAGTTTCCGAAACATTGTCATATTTTTTCCGAACGCAAAAGACTCCTTGATGAAACCTCAAGTACGTGAGAGAAATAGGATGGGAGGAAGGTAAAGAGAGTAGGGGAAGCCTTTCAAGTCCCGTGGCTTCGGCATAACCGTACTTTACGTATAGCACAGGCGTACGTGGTGACGGCGCTCAACCCAATTACGCTTGATGGCATTTTCGCGCGCGGCCCGCTTTCGCGAAGCGAGAGAGCAAAGGCGCAAAAAGAACGAGAGGGTGAGACTGCTGCTGGTTACTCCTTGAGAGAGAGAGAGAGAGAGAGAGAGAGAGAGGGAGAGAGCTGCGATTGTTTCCTCGACTTCTCGCACCTGCGGATTCCCCCGTCCGCCTTTATCGAAAAGCGCCTCGAGGCCAAATGCCAGGTCCCCTATAATTTTCCGTGGCACTCTTAAGCGAAACTCTCCCGGCGCGGCGATCGGCTCTGGCAAGCGAGTATTTGTTTTGTTCGAGGGATCGAGGCAATCGAGTCGTCGACTTCGTGCTCTCTCTCTCTCTCTCTCTTTCTCTCCCTTCATTCACTTAGCGTCGCACCCACTTAAGACACTGAAACAGAGCTCGATGTGCACTGGATATTGGCAAACAATTGGAAAGAACTCGCCTCCGGCTGGATGTTGCTCTTTATCGATCTTCCCTTTCTTTTCCCCCAATGCTTCGTGCGAGCACTCGTCGAAACGGGAGAACCCTAAAGCAATGCGGGTCACACTCAATTAATTAAAACAATTCTCGACTTTGGCAAATTCCCGACAAGGATTTATGAATATTGCCGGCTAGGAAAATAAAACATCTACGCTTTGTACAACGTTTTCAATGCAAATACCCATCTTTGAAACGCGTGTAAATATTCGTATAATGGTATTCGTTTTGCAGGATGTTACGGCGATGAAAAGAGAGAAAAAGAAAAAAAAATCCACCGATGAAGAAGCCTCCCAGACAAAGACACTGCTACGCTCGTGAAAAGCTAATTGGCTGCGCGAAAAAACCGACAAACGGACAAATATTCATTCGAGAGCCTTGAAAAGAAATCATATAAAAAGCGCGATCTTTCAATTGTACTCGACACTGTGAGAGTATCGCACCGACAGGAGAAAACTATCTCGCCAATAGTCTGGCGCACAATTATACGAAGAAGCCGTCTCGCTCTCTGAGCGTCCATTGTTCAATAATAGCGGAAAGAGTCGGAAAAGACGCGAGCCGCTCATCTTCCGGCGAGGGAGGCGGCAACTTGCAAATGCACAATCATAAAGAGGCAGAAGTGCGTGCATTTGGAGCGAAATATTTTCCTCCTCTATTTCTTTTCGCGGGTCTTTTCGTCCTTTTCACCGTTACACTCGCTGAAAGCCGAGGGCGTGAGCCGGCAAGCGTCCAAAGTCTTAAGAAGAGAGTCTGCAGCGAACGCGTGGAGAAATGAATTTTCAGCGTCGCGAGGTATCCCGCGTCCAATGACGACGGCACTTCGAGCGAGCGACTCCACAAGTTGTTTCATTGGGCGGATGATGCGCGAGCTTGCGCAACAGTTTTGTTAGTGACGCGGGCTTACGCTATCGCTACGTATTTCGCTGTGCGAGAATATCCGCTGCGGGTACCGTCAAATTGGCAGAATTCTCTTGGGAGCTGTAAAAAGCTTACAATGGGCAAACCGAAGAGTAGGGCGAGTGTGCGAGAAAACCGACACGTAGACCAGCTGTAATTGATTGATGCCTTGTCGTGACTTGGCGTCAATCGCGTAGCCGAGCGATTGCGCCTGGAATCAAATATGCAAAGCAGCGCTGCAGTCCAGTATATTTCTCGAGAACCGATTTTTCGTGCGGATGAAGCTTTCGACAACGAAAAACCATCTTTCAGAGTGGAAAAAAATGTTGGGCAACAACAATCTCGCGAAATTGCCAATTAAAGAACGCGGTAAAAAATAATGAATTCTTAGGATGCAACGTCGTGCAAAGCATAACAGACCATTGGATAAGCCAAGGAAACAGAAAAAATAGGCGGCATAAAAGAAAGAAAACAAAAGCGCGAGGAATCTCTCCGGCCAGAAATCCAGGCAACGGTGTAGGAGGGTGAAAAGAAGCGCTTAAAAAGTATAGCAAGGGAAGGCCCTCATAAAGCCAGTCAACACACACAGAGAAGCAGAAGGAGGAAGAAGAAAAAGGAAAGAATCACGGCGAGAAAGACACACCACAAGTCTTCATTTATATCCGAGGCGTCATTGCAGTGGCTTGGGCTAGGCGTGCGCTGACAGTGTAGGACGAAAGTAAGAAAGCGAGACGGGAGAAAAAGAAGGCCACGGCGAAGAGGAAGCGAGGAGGCCAGTCAAATAAAACTGGGCGCGCAGCCGGAGAAAACAATGCCGCGAGATAGCATTCTTTACTTTTCGCCGATAGCTTCCGATGTCGATCGAAGAGAATCAGCGTTAGAGCGAGAGAGACGGGCATAAGCCTATCCCCTTTCCCGCCTTGGAGAAATATTAGTGGTAATGGCCACGGCGCTGCGCTGAGGGGAAAGCCGCGCTCGCGCAAAGAGCATCGTTGGCAAGGATAATACCGCTGTTTGCGCTTTTATGCGGAATCCTTCAACTTCCTCTCCTTATGACTTCATGAAAACAAAAGCTTTTTTTATGGTGTTCCTTGATGTGACTTTGATGGCCGCGCGCGCTTCTTCAAGAATACGCACACACGCAGCCTCGAGCTCGAGCTCGCAGCTCGGTTTCGCTGATAAGTTTGGGCTCGTCTGCATGTAAACAACGTCAAACAGAATGGGACCAGCCAATGCTGTAATTCAAAAGAGCCTCGAACAGTGGTTGGAACGGCGCTATACCAAAGTGGAAGGCAAAACGACAGCTTTCATGGAAATAGCTTGCCACGGTCATCAAAGTTCAATATCAATTCCTATAACTTCGGCCCGTACGAACGAAAAAAGGGAGAGAGAGAGATGAAACAATCGTCGAAACTCAAACGCCACTTTGATCTCCATCGCGCGGAGGAGCGATCACCCTTCCCTCTGTCTCTCCTTCTCCAGCAGTGCATCAGTAGAACGATGGAAAGCAATAAGCGTAAAAAGCAAGCAAGCAAGCAAGCAAGCAGTATACGGTGGAGGGATACGCCGGGGCTGGCGAGGGTGAGTGGAGGGGAGCGCGCGGCGGGGATGCAGCGTGCGCGCGGCGCCGGGACAAAGACGGCCGAAAGCTAGCGCGCGCCGATTGTGAGCGAGCCAACAGTCGCGAGGCAGCGCGACAACCTACTGCCGATGCGCTCGCGCGCTCCCCGCTGGTCCTTGTCCTCGCTCTCGAGACACTCGTACTCCGCGATTGGCTGCGCGACGCCGCGACGTCAGCCGTCGTTTCACGCGAGTGCGCGCAAACGCTGAAGCAACGATAACCCAATAAGCCCAGCGAAGCTCTCGGACCGAAGCCTCTCGTCGCTGGTAAGTTTCTGGCTTGATCAACGCTTTCGACGAGGCTGTGCGTTCCGGCTGTTCACCGGCTGCCGCGCGAGCGCGGGCACGTGCGCTGCTCGAATGCCGCAGTACCCAGCGAATAATAATCAACGATCGGAAACAAAGCTCGCGGGCCAAACGAACGGCGCGAAAGCGAGCGAGAGGGCAAAAGGTTTATCGAGCTACCGCGATTTCACTTATCGCTCTCGTTATTCGCGTGGAAAGGTAAGTAGCGAGTGAGCACTTACCAGCCCCTCATCTGTTCTTCAAAAGTTCTTTCATGACCGTATACTTCACGTACAAAAGCTCTCTCTGTCACTCTGTCTCTCTCTCTCTCTCTCTCTCGCGGATGAATTGACGAGAGGGCCCCGCGGCCAAAGAGGGGGAGAGCGAGAGAGAACCTGTTGATGAAGGTGTCGAGTCTCGCTCTTTCTCTCTCTCTCTCTCTCGTACTTCGGACCCTCCTTCAGCTCTATTCTCTCTCGCACACTTTCGCACGGCCTCGACGACAAGAGTAATTAATAAAATCTCGCTTTGCCAGCACAGCCGCAGAAAAGAATTGAAGAGAGAGAGAGAGCCATGCGATTTTTCGCTTGCCGACTGGCTGCTCATTTCGTTAGTCGTGCAAGCGCGCACCGCTGCTCCTTATTTATCGCCGCGCATTCTTCTCTCCCTGGAAAACTCGAGCTTCACGGGCTTTTACATCAGTTTTCTGCTCTTAAATATAGAACCTCTTACCCTCGTGTATTAAAAGCCACTTATTCTTGTCTTTCTATATTAGTTATTTGTTGCTCGCTACTCGCAGTGATCAATCATCATTCCTCACTGCGTTCACCTTGGCAAATGCGAAAGTTCATGAAAAAGTGATATTTTCAAAGATAGTTTGATCAGCACAAAGGAAAATGCAAAGCAGTTTGTTGTCTGGCTTTATTTGATTGAGTGAAACATAGAGACGGTGCCGTTTGTTGCGTAAAGTGTTTTTCGCGACAACAAAAAATAGAAAGAAAAAAAGACAAGATTTTCATGAAAATAGGAAACAAAGTGAAAAATACAAAGCGAGTAAGTTTTCAATTTCTCGGCAAAAACTCGCTCGCTATCAAGCCGAAAGTGACTGTCGGGGCTTTCCGAGGCGCGTGCGGCAATGACAATTCATATTCCGTAAAAGAGCCCGCTTGTCTTTTTTATTTCGGCCGACAAAAGCTTGCGACGAAAGGCCAGACGTACACACGGCGACGAGCCGCGCTATGTAACCGTATTTCCGACTTTTTCCTTGGGCAAATTTGCGAACCGCAGCTGCATGCTGTCGATAAACTGTGGTGGCAACAGGTATATGATCCTTTCCTAGCTCGAGCGAACCCGCGAGAATCGAGAAATGCAGTGACGTACGCTTAATCGACGAGCCTGATCGATAAGCTCGCAAATTTCCTTTTTGCCTTTCCTGTCCTTTTTCCTTCTTTTATTTCTCGACGATCCTCGGAAGCATTAGATTGAAATGTTCGTGCCTGACTTGTTAGGGTTATCTCTACCTATTTTTGTTCTTTTTTATTTTATTGGATATCATTTTTTAAAAGTTACAAGAATGCGCGCTCGAAGTGAACTGGGCCATTAAAAAAGAAAAGGAAGGGAACAACAACAAGAAACTCGTAGTCGCTGTATTTGCAAAGGAAAGAGTACTTAATTAAAAGCAGCTGTAGTAATTACCGAGGTAGTATTTTTTAACGGTCTAATTTCTCGTTTTAAAATGATCGCCACGTTAAATAGAGGCACGGAATCGCATCGTCCGCAAAATCTCCCTCGCGCCCGAGCGTACAGCCGTCGAGAGCAAGAGAGAGAGAGAGAGAGAGCGAACCGGAGAATTTAATCTAGAGAAGTATTTCAAGACATTCCGGCAACAATGAGAAAATGTTTTCACCCACATTTAACGTAACAACTCGTAAAGTTCCTAACCCGCGGGCGAAATAAAATAAACGCGGATTCCACTTGAGCGTTGCGATGCATTTTTTTCCAGCAGTGCCAACCGAAAATAAAACAATCGAGGATCAGAGTCCGCCAGTGGCAGCGATCGAGAGCCGTCCCTTTCTTCCCAAGCACGCGAACCAGCTGGTTTAATTTACTTTGGGTTATATTCATTTTACGGCGGTAAATTAAATATTCACAGGCGACGGCAAAATGGAATGGGACGAAACGCGATCAGTCGGACAGCAACTATGCGCGAGCCTGCATGTGTGCGAGTCTACATCTGCGCTTCGGAGATTTGCGCAGGAGCGCGGAGAGCCATAGCGCTGGCGGGATAATTGTTTCGCGCGAATGGTACGTTTATAGCGCCAAGGTTCCCTCGTTGGCACAAGAGCGTCGTCCTCGCCGAGCGCGCGATGGCTCGACCATCGATACGCCCGCCAACATTGCTGCACCGCGTCGTCCTGGCATTACGCTTTTGCGCACTCCCCGTACACCTCTCGCTCTCGCTCGGCTTGCCTCCAATTTCCAGGGTGTTTTCGGGATGATTAATTAGCTGGCTCGTGAGCTTTTCGTACCGGCAAACTCCCCGTTCTGACGCGTATCGAAGGACAGTGTCACGGAATAAATCTGCTTCACAGAGTCGACGATAAAGATTTATGAAAATTGTGTCGTCAGTCTCCGTTTGTCAACGTCAAAAGTTATCAAGTTTCGCCACTCGATTTGAAGTATGTGTCGCGTGTGAATTTTCTTTTACCTCTGAACGACAGTGGAATTGACGTTTTCGTTAACAGCTATTGACACACATTTAAAACGTACAGCGGCGATGAAATGATTAGAATTATCATTATAGGAATTGATATAATCAGTCGCACGAAATTGGCAATTAAACGAAAAACATAAAAGTTTGGATAATCGCCAGATCAACTCTGGAGAATAAGTGTGTTGCAAAAACAATTATGCACGACTGTAAAAACGGCTTACCGCGAGCAAGTTAGCGAAAAAAAAATAATGGGATGCGAATAAAATTCCGGACTACAGTGTTGTCTAAAAATCAGCGCGAGAATAATCCGCGAGGTTTTTTTTTCGCCAACACGTATAAGCGGCGCGCAGCTGACGCCCATGAATCCTCCTCGACTATACTGCACCTCTTTAAAAACAGCTCTACGCGTCGGAGGTGCTAGGACCATCCTTTTTTTCTTTTTTTCTCTTTTTTCACTATTAAAAAAAAGAGCTTCCACGGGGTGCGGTCGAAAAATTTATTCATGCTCGCGCGAAGCGTAATTAAGAAGCGCGAAGCGCGCGAATGGCGACCGAGGAGAAGTGGGGAAATCGAGCCGCGTTTGCCTAAGCACGCGGACCGCGCGAGCGCGAGCAATGGTAAAAAGCGCAGTCGATCTACATATTCATTTGTTGGGAGGAGGGCCTTTTGCATATTTGCGCTGGGAGCAGGTGCTCCAACGGCGCTCAGTGGGCCCGACGTGCAAAGCAAAGTTAGCCTCTTTCTCAGAGGCGCGGGGGGCGAGCGAGCTTCTTGCTGGATGATTGCCAATGAATGCTTAAGCGACTGCTCCCCTCCCCCTCCCGCCCCCAACCCCTCAAGAGCGAAGAGTGGGCGACCTGTTGATGCCCGGCTGACGTACGACGCGCACAAAGGGTCAGCACGGGCGCGAGCTCGCCGTTCGGGCCGCGCCTCTCTCGTTCTTTCCCTTTGTCGTCGGGCGCACTGCGACGCACGCATTACCCTCCGTCGCGCCGCGCGCAAAAAGCTTTCGACCCTGCCTTATTCGATTTTTCCAAGAGCTTAGTCTCCGCGCGAAGCTTTTTAGTGTTGTTCGCGCGTAATTGCTTTACGCTCGGAACTGGCGAGCGCGGTCCCAAGCACGTTGGCTTGACGCTCGCTCCGCGCTGCCGCCTCGCACGGCCCCGACGAATTTACCGAACGCTCGTACGTGCCGCGTCGCGCGGCTTTTTCCGCGATGGCACGCGCGAGCTGCTGGGCTTTCACGGGAAAAAAGAGCTCGCGCCTCGAGCCGCGCTTTGCAAGCAATTCCAATGGGCAGCACGACGACGACTACGACGTCAGGATGCTTCGAGACTTCTCGCGCCCCGTCGGCGTTACCCGACGGTAACAACAACGAACGACAAATCGATTTCATTGTACTGCCTCTCGCGCCGATGCTCGTTCTCGCACGCGCAGGCCATCGTTCGCTCTTTAGATTTTCCTTATTCGGGCGGCCGAGTTTGTTAAATGTTATTCAGGCGCCGCTTCGCGGCTTACCGTTTGTCTGGCTGCGAAGCACCACGGGCAAAATGACTTCGTACTGTTATCGCGATGCGAAAATAGACAAAGCCAGAGCATTTGTTCCGATAACAAACACGATCTCCGTGTAAATCCCGTTATTTTACGAATGAAAACGAGCTACGCTCAATCCGATTGGCTTTTCTCTCTCTCTCTCTCTCGCTCTCTCGCCCTCTGTCTATCTTTCCGCGGCTGTTTGTGTATCCGTGCTCGCGAGGTAAAAGCCGCCGACAGGAAATAACGATCGACCCTCGTCGTGGCGATGCAGCTATCAGATCTCTCGCCGAGCACTTGTCATTTCCTTCGACTCGACTGTAAGAACGCTATAAATCGCCGTTGCACTCGCTCTCGCGGTGTCGACGACAACAGCCACTCGGATGCCAATCCTCTCGATAACGACCGAGCGCGCATTAACGGCGCAGCTCTCCGCGCAATGCCTATCTTTTTCCCAGCGATTTACCCGCCGGCCCCGTTCCTACTTGGACGTGCTGCTTCACTGAGCACTCCGCCTCGTATAAGGCATTGTCTGAATTAAGCTGGACTTTAATGACGGCCCAGGCGGCCGTCCTGGCTGCTACTGCTGTTTCTGCCGCTGTCGGTCCGCCGATTTAATTGCGTGCTTCCGTTCGTTTATTATCGCGCTTTAGCCTCCGTATAAACTTGCTTTTAAACACCAATGTCTTCATTATGATTCTCTTAATTACTCCGCCTTCTCTGCGGCTGCTTTACGTTTAACCTATTCCTCTGAATTTTTCGCGATTCAATAACTAAATAATTAATTAACAGAGATTAATTTGGGCACACCCCGCCATCGGCTGTCGACCATTCAGAAAAAAAGAGTCCTCTGATGCAAGCAGTCTCTTTTAATTAAATCTTGTTCGCGCTTCGAATGCGCGACCGCGACCGAATTAAAATCAGCCGCGAAACTGTCAAACCCGCGATAAATAATCCGATGAGGTCGTGGCTG